CTTCTCACAAAATAGCAATGAATCAACTAGTAGTATCCGTTCATCGAATTCTGTCACAGATATAATTCTTGTGGGGGAGTACTGTAGTGTGTCTACTACTCAACTACGTTAACTCAATTCTATGTTGGAATACTTTTTCATAGATGAAGGTTGACATTGTCGATAACTACTCACTTCTCACATTAATAATTACCAAAAATTGCTAAATTACTCGAATTAAATGAATGTTATGGTAAAAATTACGGTATAATATGTTACGGTAAAATGGATTTTACGGCGAAAATAGATTTTACCATAAAATGAGTATTATGAATGAAGCACCCGGTACTTAATATAATACGGATTTTTTTACAGTGTAAGCATGGTACCATTTTTAATAGACTTCCAAAAGAGTAGCTGTCGATCATTACTAGTCAACTGTTCGTTGCCAAATGCATTTGAAACCTTCTTCCACTTCTGAAGCACTCGAAGGGTATCTTTATCTGAGATTACTGAAATTTAAAGTCATAGTAAAATTGATATTCCATGAAAACTGAAACTAGATCTTTCACCGTAAATCTCGATTTTTTTTCTAAATTATAATGAAGATATTTTTTTTCACTAAGCTCTTCAGTTATGAGCACAGTTGCATTTTTTTGTGGATTTTGTCCTGTAACATTCGAAAAAAACCTTAACAAGGAATTAAACATTGATTTAAGAGGAAAAAACTTTTTTTTTCTCAACTAATTGTGGAATTATTATAAGACATAATTTATTAGATCTTGAGCTGGGAAATTTCAATTTTTCAGAAATATCATTAGTTATTTCTTCTACTATGCTCGTTAATTATGTTTGTGAGCTTTTTTATGCAATATTTAAAAAAAAAAACCTAACGAGAAATTAAACATTGATTTTACGAGGAAAAATTCTTTTTTGTCAACATATTATTGCATATTTCATTATGGATATCTCAGTTGTTTTTAATCCATAACCCTAATATTAATTTGAAATATAAATCATCAGTCTTTTCAAACTGTCCAATGCGCTATTATTGGATCAAAACTAAAACAAGATAGTAAAAAATCAATATTTTTATTTAAGCTTACATTTCAGCCTAAGCATCATTAAAAAGTAATTTAATTTTTGTTTCAAATAAAAAATCGAGTTTATGTTGAAAATAATTATTTTTAATGTAATTTGAGGAATATGAATTTTCTAGTATCTGGATTAAAAAGAAAAAAATCAAACAAGCGGAAGCTAGTAGATAGTATTTTTAGAAGAAAAAAATCAATATTAGCTTGAAGCTGGATTTTAGAAGCATTTCTTATCTTGAGACTACTTTGAATTTATCCGCTAATGCATCATTTGGATAATTGATATACTTTATAAACTAATTACAAATTTAAACTTGAGGTAGTTTTTTGAATTTCAGAATTGTTTTACCTTAAAATAATAACTATCATATGTAAACTTGAAAAGAAGGTAAATGGATTTTTAAAATACTAATTAATGAAAATAAATTTGCTTCAATTTATCAACGAAACGTAGGATCTTTCATTATTCATAAATCCTTTTGCAAAACTAACTATTCTGAGAAAATTGCATTAAAATTATTATAATTGCTTTAAAATAATTACAAAGAAATGTAAATATAATATGAAGGAAACATAATGATTTAAAACTAATTTTGAAAATTAATTCAACAACTCAATTATATTGAAACTTTTTACACTCACTTTTTTTGGAGTTCATAAATTTTAACTAGAATAGAGTGAAAGAGTTTTAAACTTTAAGTATATCACAAAATCGATTAAACAAATATTTTGTTGAGAATTTAAGCTTAAAACTTAGGAGTTTTAGAAACAAATAACAATTGTTAATAAATTCAAATGATTAATAAATTTTCTTTTTCATTTTTGCCTAATAACTCTATGTTTCTAACATTTATAAAACTTTAATTACGTTTATTATTTGGATTATATGGAATTATTAAGCCATTTGTATCATTTTAATTTTCCTTAATATAATAAATTTGTTTAAAAAAAGCATAATTACTTCTGTGTATCATATTCTGTGTCTCAACAATGAGGGTAGTACTTGTGCATAGTATCGAAATAGTATAGTATTATTTTTATTTGTGCTCATTACACTGTTTTCTCTGTTATTTATGTTATTTGGGTATGATTAATTCCCACTTGAAAAGTAGTAAATTTTGAATATTGTGTTAATATGCAGTAACTTTACTCTAAAATTGAATATTATTAGCTTCTTTTCCTCATTTTAATGAGTTTATGTTTATTTCATGTTTTAAAATAACTCATTTTTTAACTCATATTTTAAAAATTATTTTAAATTTTGAATATTGTGTTAATATGCAGTAACTTTACTTTAAAATTGAATATTATTAGCTTCTTTTCCTCATTTTAATGAGTTTATGCTTATTTCATGTTTTAAAATAACTCATTTTTTAACTCATATTTTAAAATAATAGAAGGGAAAGTTTTTTTCCGTTTGGCAATCTAAAACCTATATCTAAGGAGAATTATAACCAACAACTTCAAAATTGTCCAAATTAGGGTTGCGAACGAAAATAGCAGCAGAATACATTTTTACACTTGGCGATATTTCCCTCAAATCTCGCTTTATAACTCTGAGTCGAAATATTGTTTCCTGTATAAAGCAAAGCGGCATTTTGTTTTGTAACCAGTCAAAGAACACGTAATTGTACTAAAGTTGCGTAATTTATTCATAAACTGATTCAGTTCTTAAAATTGGTTAAGTCTAAGTTAGACAGCTATAGAGGAGAGATAACCAGTTAAAATATCTCCGATATTTTTTAATACATTACAGATGCAGCTTTACAGGAAGCTGTTTAACTTGTTTATCTGTTTAAACAAAGTGACAACAAAAATTATGTAAAAATTTTATGTTTATTTCGTTTAGAGCTAAAGTTTCTACTTTTTTTCCAATGCGTGGTTATATATTTCTTCAAGTAGTTGAACTTTTAAAGCAAGTATAGAATCCAATCCTTGTCCCTGAGAAAAAAGTAGAGGAATATTATAGTGTTGTAATTAAGTTATAACAATATAATATTCTATAATATTATTATTGTGTTTAAGACGTATTATAAAACTATAAATTTGGTAGCCATCTCATTATCAACTTTTGGAGAGGTGGTCATTTTTTATGAATACGTATTTTATTTCATAACCATCGTTGAACAGCTGACCGAATATTCCGTTTACGAGTACTAATGTTTAACTCAGTATTGTTGTAATATTGAACTAAATCCAGAAGACAAAGGAACTTCTGAATCAAGTATTGGGACTTCGTGGTGGACTTTTTGAGGAAACTAACCCGCATGGAGAGGAAAACCTCCGACGGTGAACCTGATGGCAAGGGGACTCTAACCCATGATCCGTCAACCACTAAGGATATTTTACGTCAACACTGTGATAGGTGCGAGCTGGATGCGGAATTCGTATCAACCTGCCATTTACTGGCATTCGAAAACGGCTCATCTCATTGGAAGGCTCTGTCCACTGAGTGACCACAGATCATAATTAAGTATTGATCATATTGATCTCAAAAAATTTAAAAAAAGTATCAGAAGTAGAAAAAAAAAAGCCACGCTAAATATCTCCAAACCACCATGCTTCACCACCACGTTAAATATCTCCAAGCAAATAAATCTAGTTCCGAAATCTGTGGTTTTCTGAAAAGTTTTCGTTTGATTTCATTTAGTAATTTTAAGAAGAATGGTAATAATAAGAAATACTTATCCTTTTATCACCATTTTTGAAGCCACGTGAAGCTTTTTATTACCATTTTTGATGCCATATTTTTATTACCGCATGAAGGCCAATTTTTTACTATATAGATACCAGTTCTTTCAAATTTTTGAGGACCATGCGAACCCTACATATTACATTCCGATTCTACAGTCTGAGCATATTATCAGATCAAACCCTATAATCTAATCAATGAAACCCTGCATATTATCAGATACTATGTAGTCAAAAATTGATGAATATCAGTGTCATTGATATAGCTTTTGGAGAAGAATATAATACCTCAACTAATGAATTGCATGAGATGTGTAAGCTGAGTACAATGGCTTCAGGAAACATACACAATCTTTGAAAATCTTTGCCGAAATTGTAGTTCATTTTTGATTTAAATTCATTATTGATTAAATCAGCACAGAATATTGATTAAATCAGCATATTATATTTTGTTTTTTAGATTTTTTAAACTTATTTTTCGATACAAACTTCATTCCGTAGAGTTTTATGTTTTCATGATTAACTGCATGAAATGTGTTATTTTCCATATTTTAACTTCTTTCAATGCATTAAATAACCATTTCACCTCTACATTGAAGAGATTTGGTCTCTTGTGAATTTAATTTCAAACAATATTTTTCATATTTTAATCTCAATATTTCACTATATTTTGCTGAATTGTTTTGCTGAGTACATTTATGAGAATTTAAAATATGCATAGACATTTCTTTTATCTCTATTCTTATTACCTTTATTTCGATTTGAATAAAAATATGGCCTTCTATTCTAGACTTACCCTGTAAACATATAACTTCACTTTTTAATTCGTTTACAAACTTTTTTTCTAGAAATAACTACTTAGCATGAAAGTTAACTATTTATTAGAGAGTAAATAGTTTTGGCATAAATAACATAAATAACACGATGAAATTGTATATATAATATGAGAGCTTTCCTAGTTTTTAGAAGTTAATTATTTCACAAGAATATACGTTTGTTGAACACAAATTTTCTGTTTGGATTTTTCATTTTTCTTTTCGTAACTTTTGGATCTCAAACAATAATCCGTAAATAATAATTCTTGAAGAAAAAAACGTTTCAAAATAGGAACTCCGACCGAAATTATGGAGAATTTTAAAGTTCAAAATTTACTGTTTCCAACCATTTAGAATCATTTAAGTACCTATCTATTCTGCAAATTTTTTAACTTAATTAAATGCTTTTTATTTTAAACAGGGAAGCTTTCCATACCAACAGGACCAATTGAATAACAGGGATCAATCTATTTACGAAAGCCAACATATGAAGAAAAATCGACAAAACAATAAGGAAGCCATAATTAACTCAAAGACTGCATCATCAACTGAAGAAACCACAACAAAATTGCAATCCTCAACAACTTCTGGCCCAGATCTATTAGCTTCCATGCCACCTGTCACTCCAAATAAAGGACAAAAGGAATACGTCATGCTACGTCCACCAGTGGATAATCATCGAAAAATTGAACATTGGATGCAATCAATGGCTAATGGAATCTTTGGAATGGATCACCACTTAATACAAAAAAGGGGATCGGTAGGTTAATGCTATGACTGTCAATGGATTGAAAATTGATATGGTAATGCTATTAGGAGTTCAAAAATAGATCGAAGATTTAAAAAGCAAATGAAAGAAAAACAGAAAAAAAGATTGAAATAACGGTTTGCTTTATTTTGTTTTGGAAACTAGATTTGGCTCTCTCAAAATTTAAGAATTAGTTAAAAAACTCATTAAAAGATGGCGCATTTGACTGCAAAAATATGAGTTTTCTCTAGCATGTCAAACAATTTTATCTGAATATTTGCCCTGGCTGCAGTAAATTTTGTACTCATACTGCACTACGTTATTGCTGCAAGTAGTGATTATTTTAAAGTCATCCTTAAGTTTATTTCGATTATTCTTTAATGAACTTTTTAACTTATATCGGAACTTAGGATAATAAATTACAAGTTTAATTAAGCTGAATGCAGCAAACCGTACATTTCTATGTCCTTCAAACTCGCTTTAATTAATTTTTGAATTGTTGATCCTTTTTGAGACTCCAAGTAAAAGTTTAAATCTTTATCTTATCAAGTAATTTTTCATTGATCAAATGTTGATAGCAAAAAAACAAATGGTAAAATAATTAATAGAACTAAATGAGAATTTCACGCATCGAAGTATGGAATTAGATATACTTATAATTTTAATCAGATATATTAGTTGATCAGATATATTTATAATTTTTATTACCAGTTTTTCTGAATCTTAATCTAATTAACTTGTAGAACACAATTGCGATTTAAATAAAATCAATTGCTAAAATCTTTATAAGGTGTTAAGTTGAAGAATATTTTATATATTTTAAAAAATATTATCTGATAATCACGTATAAAACGGATAATCTTACGAGATAATATCGTTCAGCCTAATATCTTCAAACGGTAAAATAACTGTATACTATAAATGCTTAAATCTTGAGCAGTTCTTAATATATTTTTATTAAATTTTAAAGCAATAATTTTATAATTAATTTTAAATTGCTCTAAAGATTTTGTTTCATTTCACTGAATATTTTTAAAATTATAGAAAAAAATATTACAAGACAAAAAAAAATTTTTTTTTTATAAAGATGTTCGTATCTCCTTAGACTTACGAAATTTTACGCAATTATTGCAAATAACAACCAAAGTAATCCATATAAATTATAAGTTTATTGCTTGATTTTCTGGCATAGGGTGTTCAAAAATACTTGTCTTCCTTTGCAATTTATTGTATTCTCCAACCTTTAAAGGCTGAAAGAATTTATTGCAAAGTATGAAAACTCGCATTAACTAAGCAATTCTAAAGGTACAAAATAGATTGATAAATTCAAAGAATATCAAAAACTGAAAGTATATCTTCCATTTCTGTAGGGTAGTGTATAAATACTGGATGTATTTTCTTATTCTTCAAGAAGTATTTTATCTTCTAATAATTTAATGTAATTATTAAAACTTTTACAAAACTGAAATCGTCATACTGAAAGCTCAAAAAAAAAGTTTAATTCTTAACCTATAAATAAGAAGTTCTAGACATGCATTGTTTCAGAAAAAAAAAAGATTTTAAATCTGTCTGGCAGTCGGATTTGTTTTAAATTCATTTATGTGTTGATCTAAACATTTACAAAATGTATAATCAATTGTAAATAAGTTTAAGTAAGAACATTTTTATTGAAAAGAACAGCTTAGAAATCAAAAAGAGGATTATTATTATATATTTTTTTTGATTGTATGAAATCATATTGAAAAATTTGTTCCTTTTTAGGTAAAAAAAAGATAAAAGGATGTAATAAAATGAGAAAAGAATTTTTATTACTTTATAAGAAAGTCTGCAAAACTTATTCTTAGAATTAAGGCTTTGAATTTATATTTTTATGTTAAAAAAATCTTTAATCTACAGGCAAATCTGCTGAACATTTATATATAGAGTGTTCTAGATTGACTAGACTTGACATACGGTTTTAGAATTTCCATAAAAATTTATTTCAAAAATATGGAAGATTAATGTAAGATGTAAGATTAAATAAGTAAGATCTAAAATTAGTATATTCAAGAAAGGGGAAAAAAAACAAGAAGTCTGAAGAAGTTGGAGAGTGATTTTTAAAATCACATCAAGTTTCACTCAAACTAGTCTTCCTCTTTTTCTTATTTTTTTTAAAATTTATTTTTGACGAGGATTTTAAATATATGTATTAAAGGCAGTTCTTTTGGAACATTCTGAATATTAAATGAACAAACTTCATTTCTTCACTTAATATACTGTTGAGCGTACAAGGTTTTAAGTACATCATGTCACAATAAAAAATTCTAAGAAACAGTATTTTAAAAATGTAAATTAAGAAATAGCTGTTCAAAAATCGACTAAAAATTAATCAAAAATCTATCGGAAAATTAAGTTCACGGGAATCTGATATTTTTTTCAGGATAGTTTTACTCAGAGCATCTGACGAAAATCTAATAATACAAGTAATTTCAAATTTTATTGAAAAAAAGGATAAATAAGTAAAAAATGAAATTTTAAGTGCATTTATTTTCCTAGATTCCTATTTATTAGAGAACTATTTTTTACTATCTATTTATTAGAGAACTATTTTTTTTATTATGTATTTATTAGAGAACTATTCCTTGGTTTTTTTACTTAAATTTCCAAAAGATTCATAATTTTATTAGGAAAGTTCATAATAATAGTAGTGAATGTAATTTATGAGCCAAAAATTTCTAAACTACATACATTCATTAAATTAGGTAGGGTGAGTCAGTGGAAAATTGTAATTGCTTCATTACATGGTAACACAATGGTCATTGTAAAATTACACATGCTCAACGTAAAAGTTTTGTAAGTAAAGGTAATAAAATCGTTCTAGAAAACACAAATTTGAGAAAAAAATGTAATATCGAATCATTTTATTGAAGTTTTATTAAAGTCTAAGATAATTAGATAGAGTAAAGTCGAAATCCCATTTTCGAAGTACCATGTGGGTCGTAAATCATGTGGGTGTCAAAGTCTAATTTTACATGATTGTCGACAATCACAGGTTGTCGATTGCTAATTATAATTCAATATATTCAAGAGTATCGTTTGGGGGAAAAAGAGGTCATTGGTGTCGTTGAAAGTTAACAGCATCAATCAAAAATGCTTTTGCATTACTGCAACACACCTTGCAGAGTCTGTATGAAATAAGATAAAAATGAAGTTTTAAGACCAACAGGAATTATTGGTTATTTCGAGAATGATCTTGAATAAAATATTTGCAAACATCTTTTTTGATAAAAATGAATTTATTGCGTGACTAAATATGATCCTTCAAAATTAGCTTTTAATCTTGCACAAATTAGCAATATTATCCACGTGTTTGACTGGCTATTTACCACACTGTTAGCTAACTGTTTGTGGTAAAAAAGTTTCGACAAAGGGCTCGAGATCTTTGCGTAGATAGACAGCTAGTGTAAGTTAACTCTGATCTCAATAACTTTTACAGGGGAAAATTTAAATGAACAAGATTGTTCATCACTACAATATTAAGAAAATATTACTTTTTTTTGTAAATTTAATACATTAATAAAGGAATAAATTTAGTTCAATATAAATAGATCAGAAAGGGAAGTGATATACCCAATATAAAATTTACACCGATAGTGTGCTGAGGACCAAGGTCACGAAAACTTGATTTTTAAGTCGTGATTTATGCTAGTATTTATGTGAGTACTCATTCCCCCCACCCCCACCCTGTGCATCATCTCCAAAGTGGGCCGAATATTGAATGTCTCCCCCATATTAAATCCCCCACATAAAAAAACCTTCAAAAAAATACCTTTATATCTCAGTTTCTCAGCTCATAAGTTAAATTTATTTTTATACAAGTCAAAATAAATGTGCATGATATTGATTTGGCAGATTCATTGGCTATTTTCTTACTTAATTTAATATATTTCAAGAAAATTATTCACTATGTCGATTTTTTTTTCCAATCACCCTTATGCTCTAAAAAACTAATATTTTTGCATATGCTGAGAATATAGATTTTACCTGACATCTAGCAAATCACAAAATGTAGTTGAAATTATTTTGAAAGATTAAAATGAAAATTAGATTTATAAACTAAGGTTTAAATTTTTGAGGATTTTGCATCAACAAATATTTTACTTTATAATCCCCGTTGAATTGAGAGACATTTTGACTTCGTGGAGGATTTTTTTGATTGAACTAACCCGCCTTTGCATTACGTGGTAAGGAAAGCCACGAAAACCCTCACGGTTAGCCTGGAGGCTAGATCCGCTGAGGATATTTTAAGTCAGCGCTGTGGTTGGTGCAAGCCGGATGCGGAATTCGTACAGACCAGCCATCGTTGGGATTCGAACACGGTAACCTCATTGGAGGGTGAGCGCTCCACCACTGAGCCATCACGGCTCTTTGAGTTAGTATTAATGTAATCAGATTAGTGTAAGAAATACAGCAAAAATAAGCTAAATAAAACTTATCTAGTCGTATAACGCAAATGCGGTTAAGTTCTATGAAAAAGTCCTCTACAAAAGCAAATTTCTCTCAATACACTATCGAGGAGTTCTCCTGTCTTCTAAATTAGGTTCAAAATTACAAAGCTACGGAGTTAAACCTTGATAGTTGTAAACTCAAAAAATTGTGTGCTTGGGTCGACTGATCCACGACGGTTAAAATAAAGATAAAACTTATCAAAAGTAAAAACATTTAAATAAATTATTTTAATAATATAACACATCACTTATACTAAGTTGGTGAACTTTCTATTCCGAATAAATCTCGTGTCACTGAAAAAAGTTTATTTTTTAAAAATATTTTGAGCTACAATTTTGTTAATGAATAAATATTTAACATGCATTTCAAAAATATGAATTCATAATACAGTTTCAGACAATATCTTAAGAATATTTTTAATTATAAAATTTTCCATATTCGCTTGGATAATTCTAAGTATTTGCTTTGCTTTTTTAACTACATTTTTCCCTCGACAATTACTTTTAGAAAAATAAAAGTTTTTG